ACCCAGTATCCAGTCCCACTTACTAAGAAGTGCATTTGTGTGTCACCGATCTGGGATGCCGCCTTTACCAGACAGTGTATTTCTGAGTGTGCTCTGTTCTGATTCTGGGCTTGGCTCTGTCACCCCCCTCCTCAGGCTGTGAGCCACGTGCGTTACTTTGGGTGTTGAGGGCTAGCCCCACCTAATTGCTCCCTTAGTTCAGAGTTGTCCTGAGTATGCAAACCTGTTTATTTTTCCACATAAACTTTAGAATGGGCTTGTCTAGTTCCATTAAGAAAAGAAAAGTTGGAACTATAACTGGAACTAAGTTAAACTTAAATCCCAGGTCTTTTGAGGCCAAATTTAATGGTCTTTTCACACCTCACTACCTCCCAAGTTTAGCGTACTTCTTGCTGCATTAGGAGCATCCTGAAAAATGAAGAAATTATTTGAATATTGCTGTTGAATAAAGCTTTTCTTTAATTTGCCATTCCTGGAATTTTGTTCCATATGGGATTTTTGATGGGGTTTTAATTCTTATGTGTTTGTAGTTCAGGCCATAAGAGGTGCTTTTTGGAATGAGAGAAAAATGGTTACGTGAAATGCTCTAAAGTGCTTGCATTTGCTGTTTTGCTTTGTTTTATAACCTTTGGTACAAGAGTTGGCATTTGTAGAAGCTGAAAATGTTGGTTTCTGCTCTGCAAGAGATTTCTGGCTTCCATTCTTAATGTGCACACCACCGGCCACTGTGCACAGCCTGATTAGTTCCCACTGTGAGACATTTTCCATGTCCTTTTTTAGAATTTTAATATGTAAGAGCAGGAAAACAAGGTGAGCTCCACGAATCAGGTGAACCCCCTTAGTGCCGGGCTTCTCCTGTGGCTCAGACTCACCGTCATTGTCATGACAAGTGTGTTCTTCCTCGTCCCAGAGGTCCAGGGAAGCCGCCTTTTCAGCACCCCAGTCATTGATTAATTATGGGTATATTCTGTGCCTTCTGCCTACTTTTTAATTAAACTTTTTATTTTGAGATAATAGAGGTTCATATGTAGCTGTAAGAAATAATACAGAGAGAACCCATGTTCACTTTACACAGTGCACTGTCACAACCAGGACGTTGACCTTGATACAGTCAAGAGCCAGAACATTCCATCATCACCAGGATCCCTCCTGTTGTGCTTTTATAGCCACACCCATGCCCTCGCCTGGGAACCACTAATCCGTTCTCCATGCCTACAGTTTTCTCATTTCAAGAATGTTGTGTATAAGTGGACCATATAGTATGTAACCTTCTGGGGTTGGCTGTTTTCATTCAGTCCAGTTCTCTGGAGATCCATCCAGGGTGTTGCTATGTCAATAGTTCATTCCTTTTTATTGGCACATAGTGTTCCATGGTGTGGATGGACCACAGTTTGTTTAACCACTCACCTGTTGAAGGGCTTCTGGGTTGTTTCCAGTTTGGGGCTATTATGAATAAAGTTGCTATAAACATTCCTGAACGTGTTTTTTATGTGAATGTAAGCATTCATTTCTATGGGATAAATGCCTATGTTTAGTTTTTGAACAAACTGCCAAACCATTTCCCAGAGTGGCTGCACCATTTTGCATTCCCGCCAGCAGTGTCTGCGAGATCCAGTTTCTCCTCGTCCTCCCGGCACTTGGGGTTGTCACTGTTTTCATTTTAGCCATTCTCCTGGGTGTGCAGTGGTATCTCGTGTGGTTTTAAGTTGCATTTCCCTAATGGCTCGTGTTGTTGGACATCTTTTCATGTATTTTTCCCGTCTGTGCCTCTTCTTCAGTGAGATGTCTCTTCATGTCTGTGCCCATCTACTAATTGGATTGTTTGTGGTTTTACTGTTGAGTTTTGAGAATTTCTTGTATATTCTATTTGCTGCATATGTAGTTTTCAAATATTTTCTCCCAGTCTCTAGCTTACTTTTTCATCTTCTTTAGCAGAGCAAAAGTTTTTAATTTTGATGAGGTCCAATTTGTCAGTTTTTCCTTTTATGGATTATGCTTTTGGTGTCTAGTCGGCAAACGCTTTGCGTAGCCGTAGATGCCGGGGATTTTCTCCTATGATTTTCCTAGAAGTGTTATAGTTTTGTTTTTCACGTTTAAGCCCATGGTCCATTTCAAGTGAATTTTTGTGTAGGGTGTGGGACTGGGATGTGTAATGGCCCAGCACCATTCACTGACAAGGCTTCTTCTTCCATTGAATTGCACCTTGTGATTCCCCAGCTGGGCACGTTTGTGTGGGGCTGTCCCGGGGTTCTCTGTCTGTGCCATTGTGATCTGCCTGTTGATCCCTCGCAATACCACGTGTCTTGATGACTAAAGCAATACAGTAAGTGTTGAAATCGGTTAGACTGATTCCTCCTACTTTCTTCTTTTTTATGATGGCTGCTCTAATCTTTCTCAGATAGTTCTAACATCTCTAGGTTGGCATCTATCGACTGTCTTTTCTCATTTAGTTTGAGATATTCCTGACTCAGCGTGATGAGTGATTTTTCTGTTGAAACCTGGACATATTATGTTATGAGACTCTAAATCTTACTTAAACCTTCTGTTTTAGCTGACTTTCTCTCACACTGCTGTTAGGGCAGGGAGGATGCTGCCTCCTTACTGCCAGGCGGGGGTGTAAGTTCCGGTGCCCCACCAGGCCTCTGCTGACAACTCCTGGGGTGCTGCGCCTCCATGGCCTCCACCAGCACCGCTGGGTGGGGGCGAAAGTCCTGACTCTCCACTGGGCTTCCTCTGATACCCCAGCAGGGTGGAGACAGGCACCTTGTTACCTCACTACCAGTGGGCTTGGAAGTCCAGGCTCCCCATGCGTCCTCCCTGACTCTGCATTACAGGGTGGGGGGCACGGGGTCAGTGGGAATGAGAGTCGAGGCTCCCCCTCATCCTTGCTGAGTGGGAGAGTGGGGTCTGGCTCTTCCTGTCTGTCAGTTTCCTGCTCTGCTGAGCTTTTCCTCTCCTGGTCCTTTGGCCAGAGAAAGCAGCTTTTGTTGGAGACTTTTTTTGTCTGTGCCTGTTGGTGTTTCCAGGTTACTGGCTTCTTCAGCTCCAAGTCTGGGATAATGATACAAAAAGAAGACCGGGGGTCCTCGGGTCCCTGGCTGATCTGCCTTCTTCCTTCCAGCCTTCGGAGCCTTATATGTAACATCCGGGGTTTTCAGTGATACTTAGTGGGAGGAAAAGGGAAAAGGACATCTACCCATCTTCTGACCGAGCAAGTCCCTTCTGCCTGTTTTAAAACCGGATTTCAGCTCATAAGAACAGAGTGCTATGCACAGTGTATGTGTTGTTTCTCGGAAGTCCTTGTGATTGCCTTTCTCACACAGCCTCTGTGCTGCCCTACCTGCCACCTGTTTCCTGTCTTCACGGTGTGCCCACCTGACCCCTCCTCCAGCCTCATTTGCCCATCGTGCCCATCTTCCCGACCTGACCCTCCAGCCAAGAGGCCCCGTGGAGCACCTGCGCCTTACTTCCCATTCTAGACCTCAAGGAAACTACTTTTTATTAAAACTTTCCGTAATGGAAATATTAAAACAGATACAGAATTGCATAGTGAACCCCACGTGCCCATCAGCCGGCATCAACAATTACTAGCCATGCCCTGTGGTTTCATCCACATGCCACCTACTTTTCTCCCCACCACACAGGATTGAAGTAAGTCCCTGATATTATCATTCGATCTATAAATACTCAGTCTGTGTCACTAAAAGATAAGTGCTATTTCCACACCTAAAATGATTAACAATAATTCCTTAATAAAAGCAGCTATCAAGACAATATTTATATTAAATTTCTCACTTGCAGAATCTGTCTGATTCATTTTAGGTTCTTGTAGTATCCAGTACTGTGCTGTGCACATGATAGATTTTTAGAAAATATGTCTTGAAGTAATTAGTGAATAGAAATAGTAATGCTTGTAAAACTATCTGGAGCACTTTCATGAATAAAGGGTTCTAAACAGAAACCCATTTAACTTTTAGCAACAAATTTGCCAGATTTTCAGTGAGATTCAAAGTTACTAACAAATATTGTCATGAAAACTCTATATATTTTAGATATATGATAGATACATAAGATATATGCCTAGTTTACCACATTTTAGTCACCATTTCCCTAAAAGCAATGAATTTGCCTTTTAGTGATTTATAATATAAATTCTATTTCTATACAGAGCAACACGTGGCTACAGAATCTGCAAATCTTCTTTTTCCTCAATGGCAATTTGGTGGGATTCCTTATTGCAGATTATATGTTAGTACAATCTTGCAAAGTATAGCCAAAATATTTAGGAAGAGGAAACTCTTAAATTTGTTGATAATTGGATAATTAGAGTAATTGTTCTTTGAGGATTTCCTGTGGTTTCTCCTGCCAACAAAATAATGTTAGACATGGCTAAGAAGTTATATCAGATGTTAAACAATTACATGCTTTTTAGTTTCATCCATATGAGATACTATTCAAGATGAAAGAGAAGTAGTGAAGTGAAATACTGTGGGGTGTTTGTTCTTGTGCTAAAACTTTATTTATAACCCAAATGAAAAGTCCACCCAGAGCACAGATCACATGGTGAGTGAGTTAGAGTCGTGTTTGAGTCCTGTCCTTATGTGTCGTGATGTGGTGCGTCTTCAGTCCATCCTACAGGGAAGGTCTTTCTAAGACGTAGATGTCATTACCCTCTCCCTGGTTTGGAGCTCTCCATGGCCTCCGACCCCCTGGCATCAAGGCCACCCTCCTCAGAGTGGCCGCTGAGTCCCTGCGGCTGGCCCCAAATCTTCCTCGCTATGATTGCTTCCCACCCTCGGTCGTCCCTCCTCACCCGGAATCCTTTGGGGAAGAGGTGGGAGCATCAGAACGTTGTGTCCCGGGTGGCAGACCTAACCATCCTTGTTTTATGATTTTTTTCTTTAGTTTGTAATAATGTTGTAATCGTTTCCATAGGGTAGACTTACCTCCTATTACTCATACAATGGACACACTGAATGTTATTTTTTGCTGTCTTTCAGACAGAAACAGTCTCCGCCAGTCAAGAAACCCTCAAAAGTATTTTGCCATGGATTTAGAAGATGAAGAAAACATGAGTAAGATCTAGGCCTATCATGTAGTATCAAGTAGCTAATTTTTCATTAGAAATGTTTTTGTAAATTTATTTAGTGAGACCAATTTGGGGAAAGTGATTTTTCCTATTATATGGGCTATTAAGAGTGGCATGTTTTTAACTTTTGATATAGTCTCTACAATAGGTATCAGTATTTACTGTGGACATTTTCCTTACAGCCCTGTGTCCAGACTTTTCATTCCTTCTTATAGTCCTGGGGCCATCACGCATCTACCTGGACGTAGAACACGGGCCTCTAGATGTATAGCTTCTGTCTACAAGGACCTAGAAGCTGCAGGGTTTCATGCTAAGTCACAGCGTGGTTCTCACACTAATGATCTGGATTTTCATCTGTGCAAATCTAAGACGACCTCTGAGAATTGATTTAAATACCTGGTCATTTGAGATAACAGTACGTAAATTTTTCCCTTCCAATACAGTGGGTTCTCCCTGCATCTTGAGGGAAGGGGGTTCACATGAGTCAGTTGATCTTAAGTTTCCAGAGACTTCAATGACCCTTCGGGCTGTCGTGGCCCGAAACTCACCTCTGGGCCTTCTCCTTTCCACACTGTCTGGGGGGGAACCGAGAGCCCAGGGGTAAGCCAGCTTCCCCTCTCGCAGCGTTGTTCTCCAGGAAAAGTTTGATGATTGTACTTCTCTCTCTGCTGTTTTACCTTTAATCCCAGATAGCAATGCATTTAAATAAGGTTTAAACGCTCCCACAGAAGTTGGGAGCTTTTAGCAGAGAAATTGCAACAGAGGTGTCGTTTTTCTGATATACGTACACGTGTACCTTCTTACTTGTCCGTGCTCGGTTGTTCCCAGGGAAGAACATGCAGGCCTAACTGATGAGTCATACTTTATTGAGAGCACTCATGGCTGACTAGAACACAGTTCAGTCCATTTCCCTGTGACTTCACCCAGAGCCGACCTTGAGGCCTTGGAGCTGGCTTATCTACTCCTATAACCCGGCAGGGCACCCGGGAGAGCACTCCTGAGCCACAGACTGCTCCTCTAGTGTTGTTGTGGGGAACATGGAGCGGGCTGGGCTTAGGTATACGAACCTCCCAGGAAGTGTCTCCTTGGTTGAAGTCGGTCGGTCCCTGTGGGATGCGAGCGTGAGGAACCATGACCAGTTGCCGTTCCAGAACCATGTGGCAGTGTGCTCTCCCTCCTGCTGATGAGTGAGTGGCCTCCGGTGCCTGGTGGGTGCTCTCTTCAGGCTGGCATCCCCATCAGAGCCTACTCTCGAGGTCTTTTTAGAACCCAGCCTTATGTTTTCACTGGTCACTTCCACTGGCCACTTCTGGCTCTGCCCGTGCAGTATTCCACATCACGAGTGTGCGTGCAGGTGTCTCCCCACCTCCTGTCTGTCGGGACTATGGGCTGTTGCACGGTGTGTAGATGATACAGCTCTCCCCAGACCGATCCTGTGGTAACCTACCAAGACAAAGAATCCTGCTGGATGATTTTCCTGGGGAAATAAGCTACTGGTTCTAGTGCTGAAACTTCAAAATGCCAGTCCTGTATTTTGTCATTTCAAAAGCAATGAAAAGTTTTATCATGATTAATATTCACATTTATGAAATAAAGTAGCATGATATGTAAAGAGAAAGCATCTATTTAAGAAGAGTTGTGATAGGGAATGTCTTTCTCCAATTTTAATATTTGTTTTCCTTTACATAGTAGCATTTTTAATAAAACAGAATATGAGAATTATTTCAGTGCTGCTGAAGCAAATAAGAACTTAGAATTTATGTGAACTATCTTATAGAAAGTATATTTTTCTTATATCAAGATTATTTGTCGATCCAATATTATTTTTATTTCCTGAGGGAATGCATTTGGTTGTTTCAAAGGTTATAAATATTTGATTAAATGCATGTCAGAATATATTTATAATGATTTGATTTTCCATATTGATAATTCTGTCTAGCCACAACATCAAATGTAAGCAGTTGTCCAGTGTCTAATGCTCTTGCTCACTTGTTAATCTCCATTCTCTCTCTTGCTCTGCCCTCTTTAATCTTCTGTTTCCTTTGAGCACCGAAAGGAGTAACCTATCGAGCTTTTGCTGGAGGATGTTATAAATGAAAATTTAGTGTCCATTCCGTCAGCTTTGTCAACTGGGAGAAGTGGTGTGTGTGTCAGGAGTATTTGGGAGAGAGGTTTTCTGTAGAGAAAGTTGACCAATCTCCTATCTCTGCCACAGTGCAGAATCAGTTTTCCCTTGGGTGGTGCTTAAACCAGGGTTACTCTTTATATAGAGGCTGAGTGACGACAGCCCTGGAGATTCGAGAACTTTAACTGCGGGGATTGGCAGCCAACGACCCCTGCTTTCTGTCACATTGAGCCCTCCCATGGGTAGAGCTGATGAACATTTCCACCGTTTTTTCAGTTTGCTCAGCATGAGAATCTACTTTGACATTATGTATTAGAAATAGACCCTAGGGTCACCATATTGGAGCAATTGTAAAGTGGTTTACATTGTAAAAATATTTTGGTTCCTTAAAAGACTTATTGTGGATTTTCAAGAGCTAGTGGTAGGTCTTTAAATACAGTCATACCAACAACACTGTAAAGCCCTGTGGTCGTTAGTCCTGCGCTTCATGCGGCAGGTGGCCTGTGAAACTAACCAGGAAAACGAGGAACTGTTTGTTTTTCTCTCTTTTAAAAATCTTGATAAACTTAGAGGGAAAAGTGAACACTTTTTTATTCCCCTTTTTGAGATTAAAATCATATTTCTTTTGCCATGAACTTTTAGAGTTCTAAAATTATCTTTATTAATTTTAAATACAAACTACTTTTAAAAGGTAGGATAACCAGGTTATTCTGTAAATCCATCAAATACTTGTTTTAAAAAAGGAAAAAATTACTAGCTTAAGTTAGGAAGTTTTAGCCTGCCTGCAGCTTCAATTTCGTATCTTCTCCTCATATATTTTTTCTATCATGAAATGTATTAAGAATTCAGAAGTAAATCAATCCCCATATATAATGAAAAAATTTTAAATGAATGCTAGAAATGAAGTGTTATCCTTCAAAAACAATTTCTAAAAGGCCAGGATATTTTACATAATTATATAGGCAGTTTTCTAAGATTGATTCATGAACTAAATCAAATAACTGCATATATTGATTGAATATTTTAAACCTGAAAAACTAATTAACTTGTGAATGCGTATGTTAAATAACGTTACCTCTCCTAGGAGACGCTGCGGTTTAAAGCCCAGTGTGAGTATAGCCTGAGAGTAAATGACATTGGAAAGGAGGAAAATGCTAAAATAAGATCTACGTTTTTGTCAATACTGATATTAGACTCATTAATGTAAGGTCTTTCTGGATTAATTTATCATCCCACATTTTGATAAGCTTGAATGAAGTATCTCTAAATGCTTCAGAATATTCTTGTGGAAAAAATTATTTTAAAAATTCGCCTTTTAATGCAAAAGCAGTTGGTGATACTAAATAGAAACAAGATTAGGCACCATTTAGCAAAATGCCGAATTACTCGTTTCAATTTAGGCTGGCAGTTCTTCGGTTAAATGTGTAGTTCTTCACGTTACAGAGGGAATAAAATGTATGAGCACACATCACTTAACCAGTTACAAAGAGAGATAAAGGAATCTATAAATTTTGCATTTACAAGATCCTGCAACGAAGGCGTTGTAAGTTACTCTTTCTGGGCACCGCAGGTTCAAGCAGCACAGATGTTAAGGAAAACTGCAATCTGGACAACGTGCCCCCCAAGGACGGCGGCGCACCGGGGCCTGGCGAGGGCGCCCCGCTCTCCAACGGGGGCGGTGGGGGCGCCAGCAGGAAGCGGCCCCTGGAGGAGGGCAGCAATGGGCACGCCAGGTTCCGCCTGAAGAAGAGGAGGAGGACGCCAGGGCCCGCCCTGCCGAAGAACGCCCTGATGCAGCTGAACGAGATCAAGCCGGGCCTGCAGTACATGCTGCTGTCCCAGACGGGGCCCGTGCACGCGCCTCTGTTCGTCATGTCCGTCGAAGTGAACGGGCAAGTCTTCGAGGGCTCTGGCCCCACAAAGAAGAAGGCCAAACTGCATGCTGCCGAGAAGGCCCTGCGCTCTTTCGTGCAGTTCCCCAACGCCTCCGAGGCCCATCTGGCCATGGGGAGGACCCTGTCCACCAACACGGACTTCACGTCTGACCAGGCTGACTTCCCTGACACGCTCTTCAACGGCTTTGAGACCCCGGACAGGTCAGACGTGCCCTTCTACCTGGGTTCCAACGGCGATGACTCCTTCAGTTCCAGCGGAGACCTCAGCTTGTCGGCGTCCCCGGTGCCCACGAGCCTGGTCCAGCCTCCCCTCCCCGTGCCACCGCCATTCCCACCCCCAAGCGGGAAGAACCCCGTGATGATCCTGAACGAGCTGCGCCCAGGACTGAAGTATGACTTCCTCTCAGAGAGCGGGGAGAGCCACGCCAAGAGCTTCGTCATGTCCGTGGTCGTGGATGGGCAGTTCTTTGAAGGCTCGGGAAGGAACAAAAAGCTCGCCAAGGCCCGGGCCGCACAGTCCGCCCTGGCAACCATCTTTAATTTGCACTTGGATCAAACGCCATCTCGCCAGCCCATCCCCAGCGAGGGCCTTCAGTTACATTTACCACAGGTGAGGACGCAGGCTGCTGCCTTACACAGGGTCGTGTCCCCATGATGCTCTTAGACGGGGTTTGGTTTTCATTGTCACTGTGGCTTCCCATCTTACATCACTCTGTCCTCACACGAACAGTTACTGTAAGTCTGGCCCTAGGCGGCCTTTCCTGCTTGCAGTGGTCATGTGGTCACTGGGAAGCCCGTCCACGGCCATCACATGCAGGGTGGGGACACCTGAAGCCCCGTCCCCCGGAGCAGTGATGTCAGCGCTCTCCACGCTGAGCCTCACTCCACAGTAGTCTGCAGGTCCCTCCCTTGTGTGGCCCACCCTACGGTGACAGTGACCCACGTCCCACATCCTGCAGCAGCCTTGTCAGAGAAGAGGGAAGGGTAGGCCGGAGTGCTGGACCCTCACCCCAGCTCAGTGCTGTTTTCCCTCAAGGTCTTATCTGGGAATCCTGGGTATGAGATATGTGAGGCTGGCTGGTCAGCTGCTGAAACCCCAGTCTGGGCCAGAGTGTCAGGGCCTCGTGGCTCCTCCAGGACTGGCTGGTGGCTGTGTTCCTGAGGCTGAGGAGCCCGTCCAGGCAGAGAGGGGCCACATGTCAGGGAGGTGAGGGGCGTGAGGGGGCCTTCAGCTATAGTCCGGAGTCCATCAGGTGCCTGGGAGTCTCTGTGCCTGGAATTTCCTGCTCGGCCGGAGGTGGGCGGCCACTCTTTAAGTATGATCGTGGACAACTCCTTCCATAAAATCAGGCTGAAGAGAGGGAACATCTCTGGGTTGGCTCAGGTCGGCTCACGTGAGGGAGGAAGAGTGAAGGAGAAATAGCATAGCTGTCATCTCTAGATCCTAGAACTTTGATTACGTATTGCTTCTTTTCTTGGAGATCCAAAAATCTTGTAGTCCATTGTAAAAATTATTCTTTTAGGGAGAAAAATCTGACCTACTTCTCGATTTATTCCTTTGTTTCAAAATGTTATTGAATTTGAAAATAAAACATACACTGGTTTGATCAGAAAATATGAAAGCCTCCAGGTTGACAAGACAGGCTGGGCTGTGTTCTCTTGGAAGAGTCCCGGAGTGGCACGCTGCCTCTCATGCCTTTGAGCACAGCTAGAGGAGCTTCTGTGCAGTTGTCACCTCGCCTGAGATGACCAGCAGTTCTCAGTTTTGAAACAAGGATATTTATTTAATTTTGCCTAAAGCAACCAAATGCAACATCAGTATAAAGTAACATATTCAAAGTATCTTACTGATTTTTTTTATTAACCAAGTAATTGCTCCCTACAATAACCTCTTGTTAACATTATTCATTAGAACTTTAGTCCATTTATAATTTTACAAATTGGTGGCACTAGTTCCCAAGTGATTTTTTATTTTCAGTTTTACTATTTGCTAAAATATTTCAGCCTGAGTTCAAAATAGTGCCTGATGTGACCCGTCTTCCCTCAGCGTCAACAGAGTCATGAGTGAGACGACTGGAATCGCATCGAGTGCTGTGAATCCCAGATGCCCGAGTTTCTAGGTGTTTAGATGGATGACACCGCAGAGGGGTGGCAGACAGAGGTCCCCCTCTGCATGTGTATGCATGCATTTGCATGCGTGGGCATGCGTGTGTGTGCGTGGCAGTCGCAGCCTGCTCCCCAGGCCTGGTTCTGTGACTTTGGTGTGGAACAGTGACCAGAGATCCTTGCTTGGGAGGCTGTGTGGAGCCTCGCTGCGGAAGGGCATCTGTTGGAATTCAGCCTAAGGGGAGAGGGTGTGGGTAGGCAGGGGCTGTCTCAGACCCACCCGATGCTGCTTGCCCCGAGTTCAGCAGGTGCTGAGCAGCAGTTTCTGGACCTCTGTGGTCCAGGGCCAGCAAGGGGGGCGGAGCTCTGTCTCCCCCACCTCTGCTCACAGTGGCCCCCGCCACGGTGTCTCCCGGAGCCCCCACCGTAGCTCAGGATGTAGGACCTGGGGGTGGCCTTTGCAGAATCGGTCCCTATTTTTGGGCTCCGTTGTCTTCCCGCTAGGAATCTCCAAAGGTACATTCTAGGATGGGTGAAAACCCTTACCGTTTTCCCAGAGTAACCCTTGCAGGACCTGGGCCCACCATCCCTGGGCTTAGGACTTTTTGCCTTCATGCTGTTCATGGTGGCATTCAAGGATTCAAAACTCAGACGACAGTGCCCACGTGATGAGTGCAGAGCACCCTGTCGGCAGTGACTTCTGTTACTAACCGGGCGTCTCAGTGCGGAGCTCAGCTCTGAGCCGGCCTCTCAGCTCCCGGGTGTCCTTGCAGGAAGCGGTGCAGCCTGGGGCTGTGGTGGGGTGGGTGTGACTTTTAAGAGCATGTTGCTTTTGTTATTATATCTGCCCCTAGAATTTAGAGGGAGAGTCGCTTCATTACCCGTAAGAAGGAGATAGTGATTTCTTTAGGGGATGGAAGAGCCATGTGTGTGTCCCAGATGCCCACCTCTGACAGCAAGTGTCTGCATTAGTGCCCAGCCTCCATCTGAGTGTCTGAATCTGCAGTTAAACTTGTCTGCTTCTCCCTGAAAATCTGGAGACTTGCCTACCCTTATACGAATATGACACGGAGACTTTTATTTCCTCTGGCTTATCCATAACCTCTCCTAGTATTTTCCTTCTGTATAAATTGGAACGTCCTTTATCTTTGATGCCCTCGCCATCATGTTGGTCACGCGTGCTGTGTTTCTGTCTTTCCTGGGCTCACCCCTGTGGCATTGATGCCTCTGTCGAGGGTGCAAGGTGAGGCCACGGGCCCTGCCTCTGGATCTCTGTCCACACTCCCTGCGTCTGGTCTTGAGCACTGTCTTCCAGGGCCCGTTGGTGTTTGCTGGTGCAGTGACAGGAGGAAAACATCCTGACAGCTCTGTGTTTTCCGAATAAGTCATGATTTAGGATGAGTGACTTTCCTGTTCCTTTTGCAAGTATTTTATCAGAGGCCAACCTGGAGACACTGTATTCAGCTGTTGGATTGTCACGAGTGTGAGATTGGTGGGATGTGGGTCTAACATGGCTCCTTACACACACCTCCCGTCAGGCACTGTTTCCAGAGCACTGTGGGTTCATTATATCCAAGAGGCATCGTCAGACCATGTCCAAACTCTGACATGTGTGTTTGCTTCTGACAAGACTTCCCTTTAGTACAGGTGGCTGTCTGATCTGGTGACACACCAATCGAATGTTCCCAACAGCACATACAGCACCTTCTCTTTGAGTGTAGCCTTTAGTACATTCCGATGTCATTTGATCTCAGTGACAGATGCCCTTACACATTCTGGTCAGCGCGAGCTTCTGAGAGAGTGACTGAGCCAGGCTGGTTTGTGTCAGATGTTGACGTAACTGAGACAGGTCTGACAGGCACCTTTGAGAGGGCAGTGCTGTGCAGAGCTCAGTGATTCCTTCACTTGACCATGCTTCACATTGCCCTCTTTCTCTGCCCGCGATGTTGCGTGTCACACCCCAGGGTGTGCTCCCGGCCCTGCCAGCCCCTGAGCTGACCGGGCAGCGTCTCCTGTGGTCGAGAAGAGGAGCGCCCTCACTTCCTCCAAAAGCCCTGTCGCTTTTGTGTGACCGAGGGCCGCCCTCGGCCGAGAGAGCCCTGGGCGGGCGCAGAGCAGGGGAAGGCAGGAGGCAGATGCCCTGGGAAGGCACTCTCGCTGCTCTGCGGAGGAAGCCGAGGGCAGGGCTGGTGCTGTGAGGATCGGAGGGACGGCGTGAGCACGAGCGCTGGCTCTCCTGGCCGGTCTCTGGACTCTCCCTGTCCTTGAGACCCCATCACAGGAGTCCAGCAGTGCCTCACATGCTCCCTGGGTGGCTGCTTCCCAGGAACATTTGGAGGAAACAAATTCACGTGTGTACACAGGCACGCACACACTTGTTTGCCAGATTTACCTGTGTGATTTTCCAGAAGAGAAGCCATCTGTGTCATCTCTCTGATGGGGAGCACGAGGTGACATTGGCGGGCAGGTGCAGGCCGCTCCCCTAACCCCCTGCTTGTTCCTCAGGTGTTAGCGGATGCTGTGGCCCGCCTGGTTCTGGACAAGTTTGGTGATCTGACGGACAACTTCTCCTCCCCTCACGCGCGCAGAAAAGTTCTTGCCGGAATCGTCATGACGACAGGTAAACACATTGGTCTGTTAAAGTCTCTGTGACGCCTTGACTGTTTCTTCCTTCTTCAAATGTCCACCACGTGCGAGTGTAGGAACTTCGCTTCCAAACATTTTTCCCCAAATGTACATCTTTTTAACCTAAGTTGTCTTCATTTAGAGAAAGCAAACTATATTAATATTCGATTCCTATAATCTTATGTGAATGTTCTTGATCTCCTCTGGAAAACTACACTTACTAATTCTTACTTCATTCGAAAGTGTGGCGTATTTGATTTATCAGCTAACGTTCATGCCGCCAGATAAGTTTCTGTGTGACTTTATCGGGGGTAGGGGAAGCACTGGCAGTAGAAAACCCACGGGGGAAGGCACACTTTGGGGTGGCAGAAGAAACCTATTCAGTTGGTCTAGTGTTCCCAGCAGCAAAAGGGACCCTCCCTGAATCCTCTTCCCACATCGGGAGTGAGCACTCTGAGCAGGGTCTCTCGTGGATCACTCTTAGGAACAGGAAATGGCAACCAGTGCCAGGATGCCTTCGGCGGGGCTGGGCGAGAGGACCCCGCCACCCCCGGTCATGTGGGGCCCTCTCTCCTGGCGGCCTCTGCTCAGCCCAGCTGGCCGAGCCTGGCTGGCTGCGTGCAGGAAGCCAGCGCCCCAAGAGAGAGGGAGCTGGGGATGGTTTATCTGTCTACCTCCACCAGCCTGGGAGAAAACCCCGGTTCTCCGTGTAGGTGGCTGTTGTCCTTTTCTCCCGAGGTCGTTCACCTCCATCTGCTGATGGACAGCACAGAGTTCTGCAGTCCTCAGCGTTGATCCTCCCCTTGGAGCCCCAGAAAACATGGCTTCTGTTTTAATCACTGCAAGCGTTTCCTTGTGACGCGTTTACTCTGGCACAGCCCAGACAGTGTCTGACGGACAGGATGAAGGACTCTGGATGTTAACTTGGGTCCAGTTTTTATTCTGATACTTGGTGCCTCTTATTTTTCTCCCTCTTCTCCCTCTCTCTTTACTGTTATCTTTTACATTATTAAAAGGTGACTCTTCAGCTACTGAATAGAGTAGTTCCTCAGTGAGGTTCTGAACCTCTTCCGGTGGCCAGAGTGAGCGAGCTGGTGGTGTTCTTTCATCCAGTTTTTTACCCACCTTAGAAGAGGCAGTTACCTCATGGGAGTATTTTGCACCCTAGTGTGTATTTCAGTGGGGTCCGTTTGCTCGGAGCCACAGTTCACACCTGCAGGCAGCACCACCCCACACTTGGCACGCAGTTCTGAGTCAGACGCACAGCTCTCGCTCCCACTGGTTGAATGGCCCTGGGCAGGCTATTGACCCATCTGTGCCTGGGCGTCCTCATCTGCAGGATTGGGACACTGATAGCACGCACCCCAGAGGACGCTGTGGGAGTGGAATGAAAATACCTCACCTGGTGGACCAGCCTGTGCCTCCCATGGCGGGCACACCATTCGTTTAGCTGACAGTGAGAGCAGTCTGTTGTCAGGCCACATTCAGGGTCTGGCACCACGACTGTGGTACCTGGTCTGTCAACAGATTTACTCTCAGAGTGACCGCTCTGTGGAAGTACCCCAGTGTGGATGGTTTCACGGTTAAACGGTGACAGAGATCCCTAACCGACACTCTGGGAGTGACTTCTGTTTTCCTTCTTGCTTCTCTAGGTGTCTGTAAGCCATTTCTCTAGCCTCTTGAGGGCTTTGATATTAATTTCAGAATTAATTACCGGACCCATTAGTCTACCTTTACAGTGCTTCCTACCTGTATCCAGTGGGGAATGTTCAAGAAAATACTATTGCATTCTGGAGGAAATAACTTTCTTAAGTTTAGAATCTTTACACTAAGTAGTGAGGAAGGTTAATTCCCAGAAATATCTCAAAGCAAGTCCTCAGTGAGAGGCCGTTTGCAGTGCATAAGTCTGCACAGGTAAGAATTAGGTGGTAAGGGTACTGACCCCTCAGAAGTCAAGTCGTCTGTCACACCCTGGGGGCACAGTCAGGCATGCATTACTGGCAATTACGAGGAATAACTCCTCTTTTGTTTTTCAGGCACAGATGTTAAAGATGCCAAAGTGATAAGTGTTTCCACAGGAACAAAATGTATTAATGGCGAATACATGAGTGATCGTGGCCTTGCATTGAATGACTGCCATGCGGAAATAATATCTCGAAGATCCTTGCTTAGATTTCTTTATACACAACTTGAGCTTTACTTAAAGTAAGTTTAGAAGTAAATAAGTAAAAGAAGCTGTTTTTAAAAAATATTCCCTTCCCATCAGAAAATATTGCAAAACCTTTTATTGTTTGGTAATTACTGAAAAATTCTCAAAATAGTAACTTTATTGGTAACAATGAGGTTGGATCCCATTTTCCCATGATGCTCAAGCTACAAGATCGAGTTGGCTAAATTATAACACACATACACACACACATACACGTACGTATGTACATATACATAACATAGTCATGGATTCAAAGTCTGTGTTCAAGACCTTGTGCTTTTCTTTTAAGCAATATGAATATAAGTAGAACTGAACTGCCTGGTAAAGACGGTCATTTTTATTCTGGTCGCTATGCCTAACTTGTCTTCACAAAGCTGCTTCTCACGCAGTCTTTCTGTTTCAAAGTCATAAATGAGGATGTAAATGAGGACAAGGAAAGGTTACTCGTGTGTCGATGACATGTCTGTTATTGAGTGGACAAGAACTATGTTAATTATCATAAACATGTAAAATAAATATTCCGGTTCAAGCTTATCTTGACCCTTGAAAATACTGGCCTTTGAAAACCAGTGTGAACTGATGGACTAAATTTTGACAAACTTATACAGCTTTTATGTGTATTTTTGCAACTTGTTTCCTTTCAGTAACAAAGATGATCAAAAGAGATCCATCTTTCAGAAATCAGAGCGAGGAGGCTTTAGACTGAAGGAGAATGTGCAGTTCCATCTGTATATCAGCACCTCTCCATGCGGAGATGCCAGAATTTTCTCCCCACATGAACCAATCCTGGAAGGTAGGAGACTAGGTTCTCAACAGTTGACAGTTTCTCACGAAAATTCGTGAGTATGAGTAACAGATAAAATAATAAACCTATACTAATATTCTTTTTTTTCTTTTTTCTTAAATTTCAGCCTCGAATGTGGATCTGATAGAAGTATATAAAAGCATGAGATTTTTCTTTTCAATTAATAATTTAGTTACAAAATTTGAATGAATGAAAAATGTTGATTCAGATAGACTAAGTAATTAGAATAGAGTGAGGATATTAGATCAGAATTGTTTTCAGTGTTTAAATTTGGATGATTTGTATCTCTAAATCAGAGAGGTCCATCCTCATCATGTCCCTGATGAACTGTGCTGTAACACATGTGTAACCCAGGAACAGACTAATGAAAAGTGAGACCCCTTTGCTATCACATTTTTCTCCATCCTTCTGAGCATATGAGTTAGTGCTTCTGTTTATAGTAACTTGTAACTCCCTTCTCCCAAGCTTAGGCATTATTTATTCCAAATAGAGTGTTAGATTACATTATTTTCATTAATTATAAAAGCAACACATGCCCACTGTGGAAAATTGCTAAATATTTTTAAAATCTAAGAAAGAGAATTTAGATCACCCATATTTCTGTAATCCAGAGACAGTCAGTCTGGACATTTGAGCATGCTTCCTTATGGATTTATCTCTGCGTCTCTATAGATTTATTTTTGAAAATTTAAAAATACAGGGAAAAAATACAACAAACACCCAAATATCCATTACCTAGAATTAGCAAATTAGTATTTTGTCTTGTTTGCTTCTGCTCATTTTTAATGATAGAAATAAATCGTTTTGGTTAAAATGGATCCCCTCTTTTTCCCCAGCCCCTAAGGAGACACTTTCTCGAATTTGGTTTGTATTAAATCCTTCCTGTCCAATGTTACTACTTATATTGTACATACATCTTATATTTGTAGAATAAACATATGCACATGCAGGCATAAACTACATGTTAAATTTATAGGGTGTTGTTAGATGTGCCTCTCGGTGAATTAAATAGATGGTTTACTTCCTATGGGTTCTTTCACCCTGTTTTTCTCTCGTAGAACCAGCAGACAGACATCCGAATCGTAAAGCCAGAGGACAGTTGCGGACGAAAATAGAGTCTGGCGAGGGGACGATTCCAGTCCGATCGAACGCAAGCATCCAGACGTGGGACGGGGTGCTGCAGGGGGAGAGGCTGCTCACCATGTCCTGCAGCGACAAGATGGCGCGGTAAGGCCTCCCGTCCCGCAGGCCTGTACGCCGCCTCACTCACGCGGGATTCACTCCTCTGTTTTTCAGAAACAGTTGGATTTTGTCCCCATTCCTACTCAGGTGCTCCACAGCACTCCTTGAAGGACTAAGGTGCTATAAACAAGTGTTTCAGAGGCCTCCTTGAGGGGAAAAAGGTGTGCCTGTACACAGGAGGCTCCGGGCTTCCCACACTGCCGTCCTTCAAAACACGCATCTCAGCTTTGCTTGTGTACTTTATATATGGGCTCCTGGGGTGGACTGATGTGTGTCGTGTGCTACACACTGGGACATTTTAAAACGGTTTGCTCCCAGAGAAAACAAAGAGTTTCCTGCTTTTGTGGTCATATTCACAGTTCAGTTAACATTTTGGATAATCAATATTTGCATTTTAAAAATAATGTGGTCATGGGCCCGCCCCATGGCTTAGCGGTTAAGTGCACACGCTCCACTGCTGGCGACCTGGGTTCGGATCCCAGGCGCGCACTGACACACAGCTTCTCTGGCCATGCTGAGGCCGCGTCCCACATACAGCAACTGGAAGGATGTGCATCTATGACATACAACTATCTACTGGGGCTTTGGGGGAAAAGAAGAAAATTAAAAATAATGTGGTCTGTGAACCATTTTGAGTTAATTTTTGTGAAGAGTGTGAGGTCTGTGTCTAGACTCATTTCTTTCCTGTGGGTGTCCGGTTGTTCCAGCACCATTTATTGGAAAGACCATCTTTGCTCCGTTGTACTGCCTTTGCTCCTTTGTCAAAGATCAGTTGACTATATTTGTGCGGGTCTATTTCTGGGCTCTCTGTTCTGTATTCTCTTCCATTGCTCTGTTTGTCTGTTGTTTTGCAACACCACACTGTCTTTGTTACTTTTTGGGTTCTGGACCCAATTCCACTATGTGTGTGGCAAAGGGGGTTTCCCCACACATCCAATAAGCAAGTCTCAGACACCAGCTGGGGGTCCTACAATTCAACTCAGTTCTGACACTGTCTACCTGGAGATGGCATCAGATCCCACAGGTTAAGGGGTCAGTCCCACAAGACCCCCCACCCCCACTTCAGATGATACTTGCAAGTCCAGGTTGTCTCCTGTGCTTCTTGCTGACCAACTGTAGAGCAGAGGTTCCAACCACCTCCTCCTTGGTTCGATTAATTTGCTAGAGGGGCTCACAGAACTCAGAGAAACATTTTACTTACTAGATCACCGGTTTATTATAAAAGAATACAACTCAAGAACAGCCAGGTGGAAGAGATGTGTAGGGCAAGGTGTGTGGGAAGGGCACGAAGTTTCCATGCCCTGTCCGGGTGCACCACTCTCCCTGCATCTCCACGTGTTCACCAGCCCGGAACCTCTCTAAAACCTTTCCTTTTGAGTTTTTATGGAGGCTTCATTACAAACGCATGGTTGATTAAATCATTGACCATTGGTGTTTGAGCTCAATCTCCAGCCCTTCTCCCCTCCCTTAAGGTCAGGGTGGGTGACACTGAAAATTCCAACCCCCTAATCATGAGGTTGGCTCCACTGGCAGCCAGCCCTCATTCTCAGGTGAGTTACAAGTCATCTCATTAACATAACAAAAGACACCTTTATGGCTCTCATCACTTTGAAATTCCAAGGGTATTAGGAGCTGTGAGCCAGAAACTGTGGACAAAGACCAACTGCATATGAGAAATATATTTTGTTCATCTGAATGACCAAATATATATTTGTTATAAATCACAATATCACCATTACTGTAGCTTTACAGTAGGTCTTGAAGTCAGGTAAGATCAGTCCTCTGACTTTGTTCTTTGTCAATGTTGTGTTGGCTGTTCTGGATCTTTCGCCTCTCCAGATAAACTTTAGAATCAGTTTCACAATATCCACAAAATAACTTGCTGGAATTTTGATTGGGTTTGCACTGAATCTATAGATCAGGTTGGGAGGAACTGACATCTTGACAATATTGAGTCTTCCTGCCCATGAACATGGAATAGCTCTCCACTTATTTGATTCTTCTTTGATTTCCTTCATCACTTTTGTAGTTTTCTTCATATAGGTCTTGTACATATTTTGTTAGATTTATACCTAGGTATTTAATTTTTGGAGGTATTAATGTAAATGGTATTGTGTTTTTAATTTCAAATTCTACTTGTTCATTGTCAGTCACAACTGATTTTTGACCAAGGCTCAAAGCCAACTCAGTAAAGAAATAGTGTTTTTTACAAATGGTACTGGGACAATTGGATATCCCTATGTGAAAAACAAACAAATGAGCTTCATATTTTGCACCACATACAAAAATTAACTCAAAATGGGTCATAGGCCTCAATGTGTAAATGTTCTGGAAGAAAACAAAAGAAAATCCTGGCAGTTGGGGTAGGCAGTTGCTTAGATACAACACCAAAGGCACTCTCCATAAAAGGAAAAATTGATAAATTGGACCTCATCAAATTAAAAATTACTTCTTTGAAAGACACTGTTAAAAGAATGAGAAATAAAGTCACTGACAGGGAGGAAATATTTGCAAATCATGTATCTGATAAAGGACCTGTATCCACAATATACAAAGACCCTCAAAACTCAACAAGGAGGAAAAACAGTTCTTTTAAATGGGCAAAATATTTGAATGGACACTTCACCAAAAAAGATGTCAACTATGCATGTGGAAAAGTGCTCAGCACCGTTAATCACTAGGGGAATGCAAATGAGAAGTCGGGCACAGCCGCTAGAATGCTAAAATGAGCACAGCAAGCCCGTGAGGTGTTGGCAGTGTGGTGGAGGAATGGAGCGCGCCCTCTGAGGATGGGGTGCGAACAGTGCAGTCAGTTCTGAGGACAGTTCACGGCAGTTTCTTAAGTTGAGGATGTGCCTACCAGATGCCCCAGCCATCCTACTCCTGGATGTTTATATAAAAGCGTACGTCCACACAGACTTATCCATGAATGTTCATGGCAGCCTTCTTTGTAATAGTCAAAAACCGGAAGCAATCCAAGTGGCCATCAGTAGATAAGTGGATAAGCAAGGGCAGTGTCTCCCTACGATGGAATACTACTCAGACAAAAAAAAAACAAGGAGGAACCGTGGTACGCAATACAACATGGATAAATCTCAAAATAAGTCTGCAGAGGAAGAGAAACCAGACAAAAAAGAGTGCTTACTGTGTTACTCCACTTCTACAAATTTCTAGAAAATGCAAACTAATCTAGTGACAGGAAGCAGACCAGTGGTTGCCCAGGGGTGGGGCCCACAGTAAGAAGGGACAGTAGGGAAGGACTGGAACAAGGTGTGAGGAAACCTTTGTGGGCGGGCCTCAGGGGCATGTACACATCACAGCTTACCGAATTGTATGCTTTAAATATGTGCAGCGTGTCCTACGTCAGTTATACCTCAGTAACTCCCAGGAGGAGGGATCACGGTGGACACGAGAAGGCGGTCGTGGATAAATGGTGGAAAGCAGCACAGCTGATGGGTTAGGAAGAGGACAAGAGAGCAAACTCAGAGAAGGGGAAGGACAGAGTGAAGAGCAGACATTATTAAAGGCAGCAGAGACACACGGCGAGTGGTAACAAAACCCACGTTAGTTCTTTGACATGTGTCTTGAAATCGACAGACGCTGGCAAGTGTGATCAAGAACACAGGGAAGGCATGGCCAAAGCTTATGAGGAATGGAAAAGAGGATAGTTAAAATGGAGAATTCTACACAACCTTGCTACCAGTGTGTTTTAAAACGAGATGAAATGAAAAATTTTTTTAGAAAAATGTACATTCCTAAAATTGACTGAAGTATAGGTATAAAATTTGAATAGAATTACAGTCATTAAAAATATTAAACCAGTCACCCCACTCCCAGGAGAGAAATAAATTGAAGAAACTTGACAGAAAGGAGGCTGCTGTGGAGAAGGAGGAAACAGCTCACCCAGATGAGCCTTTGGGGACCAGCAATCTGTTTTATATAATCTTTTCTACAGATGAGAAAAATAGAGAAAGACCCCCTGCTCATTTTGTGGGATTACTGCCACCTTTATCCCCAAACCAGACAAAAACAGTGAAGGAAGACAGTGATGAGCCATCCTCAATTATGAAAACACAACACTCAACACCAAATCCAAGAGAGTTTTTTTAATAGTTTGATCAGGTCCTTCTAAATCTATAGCGGTAATGTAATTTTAATCAAAATCTCATCATTTTTCATTGCACTTGAAAATCTAATCCAAGCACTCAGATGAAAAGTATCAGTAGAAACCTGAGTGGCGATTGGTAGGAGGGCAGTGGCACAGAGGGCAAGTCTGGAAAGAGGCCGACGCTGTACGGTGCACCACGTGGGATTAGGTTTGCCTGTATTCAAGAGGAGACGTCAACTAGATGGATGTTCATTTCTCTCTCATGGAAAATTCAGTTCAAAAAACAGGTCATCCAGAGCTGCTCTGGTGGGTCCATGGTCACCCAAAACCCGGGTTCCATCTCCCTGCACCATCCAGGATGTTTCTTCTGTCCCCCAGGTCTCCACAGTGCCTGGAGATGGCCAGATCCCCAGGTGTCAGGTCTGAATCCCCAACAGCAGGAGGGCTAGGCAGGCGTGCCTCTCCGCCGGCTCAGTCGTGACAGGCAGCTGCGTGTCCTCGTCCAGACCCTGGGCGCAGGGCCGCCTCGCACTGTGAAGGGAGCTGGGGCTGGCCGGTCCGCATGTTGCCGTCTGGAATAGGATGGAGGCTTAGTTGCTCAGAAGAAGGGAAAGAACGTGGGGCCGCAGCTGGCAGTCTCTGCTGTGTGTGGGCTTCAGGCAGGAGCTGAGCTGGACGGCAGGCGGTCCTGGAATGATGGGCTGTCTGTAAGCCCTTGTCCACAGTGCACAGAAGCGCCTTCCCGAGAAGGGAGGGACCTGAACGTGAAAAGTGGTCCCTGCAGTTTTTGTGGCTTGCATTTAAGCAGGTTTCTTAAACTAGGCACAGAAAGCCCAAATTATGAAGAAAAACATGAATAAATTCGACTAAATTGAAATTTTAAAACCTATTTACCAAAACGCCCGTAGATTATAGTGGAAAGAAAAGCTACATACTAGGAAAAGAGATTCTGACTCATAACTACCAAACAGTGAGGACCCAGATTATAAAGCGAATTCCTACAGCCCAACACTGCAGAGGCATGGACTGGCAAGGTCTTTGCTGGGGGTGATTGAACGTTCTGTGTCTTGTTGAAATGGGTGACATGCACATCCACTCAGAACTCATGGCCGTGAGACCGTCCAACCATGCCTTTCCCTGTGTGCTAATTGTATGTCATCTCAAGGAAAAGGAAAGACAAGCCAGGAGGAAAGGAGCAAAGCCTGCTCCTAGAAGGGACGACGTAGGGGACAGCTCCCACGGCCTCCTCCCACCCTCAGCACTCCCACACCACGTGCTCTCCTTCTCTGCGACACCACGTGCTCTCCTTCTCTGCGACACCACAGTCGAGTCAGCGCGGACCTCACAGATGAAGGCTCAGTCCCTCACGACTTCCCCCACTTCAGACATCAGCTGCCCCTGTTGGGTGCCCAGAGTCCCCATACTTCTCTCTGACATGGCTGCAAGTCAGGGGTTCCCATGACCCCCTCCTCAGATTCAATAATCTACTAGCACAGCTCACAGAAGGCAGGAAAAACAGTTTACGTACATTTATCAGTTTATTATAAAGGATACAACCCAGGAAGAGCCAGATGGAAGAGATGCACGGGGAAGGTGCTGTGGGTGTGAAGCCTCCGTGCCCGCTCCGGACACGCCGCCCTCCCGGCATCGCATGTGTTCACCACCCCAAAAGCGCTGGAGCCCAGTGGGTTAGGGGTTATTACGCAGATTTCCATTATGTGGGCATGATTGAATCCTGGGTCGTTGGTGATGATCTCAATCCCCAGCCCCCTCTCTTCTCCCCAGGAGTGGGAGCGGGGTGGGGGGTGGGGCTGAAATTTCCAACCTCTGATTGCAGGGTTGGTTTCCCTGGCTAGCAGCCCGCCTCCTCCAAGAGTCACCTCATTAGCATAAACCAGGTGTGGGTGAAAGGGGTCTGTTGCCCAGTGTCATACCGGGAATGGCCGGATGTCCAGGAAAGCTGTGCTCTAGAAATAGCATCGATGGCCAGAGTGCTGCCCGTTGGCCGCAGTCCCCCTGCCCCTGCCCTGAGGGAATGAGCGGCCCTCCTAGAAGGCCGGTGGCGGTGTAGGGTGAGGCTGACCTGTGTCTTTTACAGGGGGACAGAGCCTCGTCCCACAGACTTTCCGGCCAGAGGGGCATGGGATGGGGGCAGGGACAGTGGGCAGGCTTAGGAGTGAGGGCCACAGGAGACTGGGGGTGGGGAGGGCGGTGCAGCACTGCAGCTAGGGTCACCAGGTCTGTCTGTCTGTCCGGTAGCAGTTTGGCGGTGAAAGCAGCCCCAGAAGGCTGCGTGGGGGACAGTGATGAGGGCGTGGCCCGAGTGGTGAGTTACGAGGGCGCTAGGCCGCGGGAGGAGTGAGGGTCTCAGTTCTGATGACCGTAGCCTCTGTGCTCAGCTGCATGGGGCTGTGGGAGGAAGCGGAGACCACCCACCTGAGGACAGGCATTTTGTTTATTCAGAGCTGCTATAGCAGGGGGTCCACCACCCTCGCTGTGTGGGCAGAGACTCAGAGACAGGCCAGAGGGGATAGCTCTGTGTGGGAAGGGGAGGCTCAGGGGTGCCCTGATGGAGGCTGTGGCCCAGCAAGGGGAGCTGGATCAGGGGTCATAGTATGACGTTGCTCAGAACCGTGTCATCTGAGAAATAACGGGTAAGGAAGATGAACGAGAAAGAGGCCTGGGCACCGAGCGCAGCCGGCCGAGAGAGCACACCTCAGCACCTGCATGGTTCTTTACAGTGTCGCCCAGCACACTTTCCTGGGCAGACTGCTGTGAACCCCTGCACCCTCCCCCTGGTCAGGGCCAGCCGGGGAGGTGGGACTGGACACTGGCCGCATCTGCGCCCGGGCATCCAGTCTCCGCAGAGGTTTACTTAGGGGGTGTTGGCTACATCAACACACAGCCCTTCTCATCACTAGTCATTTCCACTCCTGTGAAGTCCCGTCCTCACTGTTCCCTGTGTGGGTCACTGGCAGCAGCCCATCAGCAGAAGTGGCTGGTGTGCCACACCATTTCCCACCCACGGCCTCCGCAGAGCAATCATGGCTCCCAGAATTCTCTTACGAGGCATGGATCCAGAATTAACGACTCGTCACAAATTTGGGTTTCTGCAAGATCACTGTTTTGAAGTTTGCCCCAGGAGGCTGACTTCAGCTTAAAGATGGACTAGACCAGCAGACTGGCTTCTGAATTTGCATAAGAACGACGCCCTGCGGTTTCTGTAGGCACTGAATCATTTCACAATTTTTCTCCTAGGATAGGAAAACCTGTTTTCATTTTCTTTTGGGAGGGAGGGAGGAGCGTTGTGGGAATTGGAGGGTCTGTTCAGCACATAATTTATTAACCTGTGTGTGCCAGGTTCGTGGTGTAAGTGCTGGGATGGATCCGTGAATAAACAGACAAAGTCTCTCCTCGTGGGGCCTACATGCTGGTGGGGTCAGTCGGGGATGGATAATGAAAAATAGACCCATAAGTTATGTAGGAAGTTAGAACAGGAGGGGACTAGGGACTGGGGGGCACAGAGAGGGACTTTCTGCGGAGACAGAGCTGGGGGCACCGGGGCCAGGGGCTGTCTGGGGACCGTGTTCCAGGCTGAAGGGGCTGAGGGCAGAGGCTCCGGGGGAGCAGCCGGTAGCCCCATGGCCCGGGCATGGGGAGGGGAGTGGGGAGAGGTAGTAAGGGAGGAGGGCCCAGTCAGACAGGCTGGCCAGCCATTGGAATGATGGCTTTTTCTCTGGAGAAGACAGGGAACGTTGGAGGGTTTTGCAAAAGGAGTGACCTGGCCTGGCCTGTGTTTTCTCAGGGTCGCGTGGTGGCTGTCCAGGGATGGGCCCCTGAGGGCAGGGGCCATGGTCTCCTGGAGAGTGGCCATGAGGCAGGCAGGGAGGCAGTAGCAAGAAGAGCTCCTGGCTCTGCTCTGAAAGGAGGTCCCGCAGGTTTGCTGGCCGCTGGCTGGCGACAGGGAGCAAGGAGGCGAGTGTAAGTCCACGGGTTTGGCCTGAGCCACAGAGGACAGTGCTGGGTGGCCAGGAGTTTGGGCTGCGTACGTGTGGGTGCAGCCTGCTCTGCACCGCCCCATTTGCCAGCACTGGCCCACTGGGCACCGCCTTCCGCCCCCTTCCGCCCCCTTCCACAAGGGCCCGACACAAAAACGCTGTCGAGGTGGAGCTGGCGGCCAGTGCAGTGAGGGCGTAAGAGGAGGGGAGCTCTAGGGACGGAGCCTGGGCCTCACCCTCCGCATCCCACGGTCCTCTCCCAAGTCCTGCCAGCTCCCCAGACCTCAGCCCAGAGTGCTTCTAGAATCGGCCTCACCCTCTGTCCCTGCTTATGTCTGCCCTGCGCTGCTGCTGAGCAGGCTCCCCAGGCCTCCTACCTGTGGTCCCGTCCCTCCGCACCCTGGCTACACACTGACCGTTCACTGTCGACAGCACGGGCCTGGTCAGTCTCTCTCCTGCAAACACTTCCATTAAGTTAGGTGGTGCCGCTGCCCTTCAACAGGCCCTCGGCAGCTCCCTGCTGTGTCCTCTGAGGACACCCCTTCCCTGCCGGGCCCCAGGCTGCTCGCGCCGTCCTGCCTCTCCTCCTGGCCTTCCTCCCCGCCTGCCCACTGCACCCCCTCCTGGGGCTGGGCTGGGCCTCCCTCCCTCTGCCTCACAGCCCCTTCTGAGGCTGAGCTTCAGGGTTACCCTCAAGGAGCCTTCTAGAAGCTGATACCCCTCTCTTTCTTTTTCATGGAACCCTGCTTTCTCTCAAATTGATTTCACCTCAATTTATAATCCTTGATTCCACCTCAATTATAATCCTTGATTCACGTGTTTACCTCTTTACTGCATGTCCCCCGTCCAGACACCCCACTGGCTCTAGGAACGTGTGGGCCGTGTCTTCTTTGTCCCTGTGGCCTTAGCACCCAGCACTCTGGGTGCTCGGACGCGGACTCCCCAGGCTGTGAGGAGCATTTGTAGGACTCAGAAAGAGAGCAGTGGCCTAGTTGTGAGACCGTGTATGTGTTAGAGCTGAAATGAACCCTGGATGGTCAGCGATGGGAGAGATGAGCGTAATAAATGTCAGCTGAGCAGCTGAGTCACCTCCCACCCCTGTCCTGGTGCAGTCAAGGCATGGTCATGGCTGCCAGCCCCCGAGGGGCAGGTGTCGGGGTGGGCGAGTGTGCGGATCTGGCGGCGGGGAGCTTGCACCGCCTTCTGCGTGGTGTGGCTGAGGCGCTCGAGCTGATTCTCACCTCCACGTGGTAGACTGAGCTGGATGCAAGTTGTCGCCAAGGACGGGAAACACCACCAGTTCACTGTTTGCAAGGACGCCTTTAGAGCTGTCATTTTTATTAGAAGTAATAAAATATTTACTGTCCCTTTTGCTTTTGCTCACAAGAAACGTGGCTCGTTGATACCTTTTTAGAAGTAATCTTCAATAAATGTGTCATCATGGGAAACACAATGGCAAAGTTTGTCCCATAGCTTAAAATTTTTAAATAGATTTTTCTCTTTAAAATTCTAAACTGCTCATTCAGTTATTTTTAACTGCTCTCTGAGTTGGTTGACACTGTACAATATTAAGAGTACGTGAATGTAAGCAGGCCCCTTGGGTGCTGTGCCAGGTTGGCATTAAGTCCAAGATGGACACTCCTCCTCCACTGAAGGGCGTGTCCCCTCTGCCTCCAGGTGGAACGTGGTGGGCATCCAGGGATCCTTGCTCAGCATCTTTGTGGAGCCGATTTACTTCTCGAGCATCATCTTGGGAAGCCTCTATCACGGGGACCATCTCTCCAGGGCCATGTACCAGCGGATCTCCAACATCGAGGACCTGCCCCCTCTCTACACCCTCAACAAGCCTCTGCTCAGCGGCAAGTATCTCTGCGTGTACTTGCTCCATCTCTTTCAGGACCTTGTTCTGCTGTGTCCAGGTCTTACGCTTGAAGCACCATAGGGAAGCCACCTTGTGGCCGTCGGGAGTCTGGGCTGTTCTAAAAGGAGGAAAGGTGCTGTGTCAGGGCCTCTAAGGGCTCTTAAGTGAGCCCCTTGCAAGATTACTCTGTCTTACTGAAAGCCTTGCCATTCACAGAGAGATTGCAGCCCAGACTTGGCATCTCCGTGTTTTTATTTCACTCCTGTGAATATGCAAGTCCTGTCTCAGCGGCAGAGACTGAAAGTTACGCAGGCGTGGGCTGGGCCACCCGGGGTGTGTCGTCACAGTGGGGAGCTGCCAGCCACAGAGCAAGCCTGCTGCAGGCGGGTGCCAGCCCCACTCCTTGGAGGGTGCCCAGGCTCACTCTTAGGAGGTTGGTGCTGTAACTAAAATGTGCCCATGACAAGTAGACAACATCTCAGTGGTGTGATCGCATGTGCCTGTAACAAGTAGGTGACGTCTCAGGGGTGTGATTGTGTGCCTGTGACAAGTAGGTGACGTCTCAGGGGTGTGATCGCGTTTGCCTGTGACAAGTAGGCCACGTCTCAGGGGTGTTATCGCGTATGCCCGTGACAAATAGGGGACGTCTCAGTGGTGTGATTGTGTGTGCCTGTGACAAGTAGGGGACGTCTCGGTGTGATCGCGTGCCCATGACAGGTAGGGAACTTCTCAGTGGTGTGATCGCATGTGTCCGTGACAAGTACGGAACATCTCAGTGGTGTGATCGCGTGCCTGTGACAAGTAGGTGATGTCTCGGTGGTGTGATCACGTGTGCCCATGACAAGTAGGGAACATCTCAGTGGTGTGATCGCATGCCTGTGACAAGTAGGTGATGTCTCAGTGGTGTGATCGTGTGTGCCCGTGACAAGTAGGCCATGTCTCAGTGGTGTGATCTCGTGCCTGTGACAAGTAGGCCACGTCTCAGTGGTGTGATCTCGTGCCCGTAACAGGTAGGCCACGTCTCAGTGGTGTGATCGCATGTGCCTGTGACAAGTAGGCCACGTCTCGGGTGTGATCACGTGTGCCCATGACAAGTAGGCCACGTCTCAGGGGTGCGATCGCGTGTGCCTGTGACAAGTAGGCCACGTCTCAGGGGTGTGATCGCGTGTGCCTGTGACAAGTAGGCCACGTCTCAGGGATGTGGTCGTGTGTGCCCATGACAAGTAGGCCACGTCTCAGGGGTATGATCGCGTGTGCCTGTGACAGGTAGGCCACGTCTCAGGGGTGTGATAACGTGTGCCCGTGACAAGTAGGCCACGTCTCAGTGGTGTCTTGCACTTTCCGTGTATTCCCTTTGTTACTGGTTTGTTTGTTGTTTCTCTTTTAGAATTTCATGGCTGACAGTAAAAGGGAACAAGAGCTTTTGAATTCAAGGTTCCTAACTTCTCAGTTCAGCCTTATTTAAAAGGACACAGTTAAGGTATTTTTATCCTTTTGAAAATATCGTTCTACATACTTGTTTTAAGCTCAGAACTAAAACCGTAATCCTAGACTAAAGCGCGTGTCTCCTGGTGTGCGTGTGCTCTGCCTCGCCTTGTGGTGCTTGGCTACCAGCACGTCTTAACTGGGGAAAAGCAGTGTGGAATTTTACTTGAAAGCATGTCTCTTATAGCACATAAATTAAGCGGGAATGGGGAAAAACAGAAGTTGTTTTAGATCAAATTTTACAGCTCCCTAACCTTAACCAGTATTTTTTTTGTTTTAAAAATTGATAAAACTTGATGGTAAGTTGAAATTGTAGCATCCACATCTTTTGAACTTCCACTGGTAGATACAAAATAAGTGTATTTTGTTGTGTATCGGCTTATGAATTTCTCACGACTCAGAAAATAATTTTCTCTATTTTGTCTCTGTAGTCTACATTTGAGGGGAGAGTGCTTGTTTAATTTCAGTTGTCACTTGTCTTTTATATTCTTAGACACTGAAAACATTGATTGTGAAATACATGGCACATAGGAGATGCTCCAAAACAGTTGCTAATTAGTGCCTTGTTGAATAGTACTGTCTAAGCAATATCGCATCCTTAACTAAAATCTGAAAAGACAGGATCATTTTGTTAAAGGAATGTTCTAAGATATTGAAAGGGAAACTCACTTATAAAAGTCAAATTATTTTTATCCTATCATATGTATATGAAGTACATAGATAGCTGTAAAAAGATACTGAAAAATAGTGTTTGCAAGATAGACACCTTAAAGTGTCTATCTGTATATGGTTGTTAAAAATGTGAAGTATATAACAAAATAAAAGAATCTGCTCTTCATTCTCCTCTTCCTAATATCACCTCATCCCGAAAGCCTAAAGCACATAACCATGCGGTTTTGGCAGAGTGCCTGGCCGTGGCCATGCTGAGCCAACCAAGTGGCTGGTTGAGAGTCAGGGTTGGAGCTGGGAGGCTGGGCCCTGCGGTAGCTCCACGTCACTGGCAGCCTCTGGGCCTCGGTTTCTTCATCTGCCTAATGACAAGGACAGACTCGGTGCCCTGCATGGTCCTTCTGGACGAGTGTGTTAGAATCTATGAAATACAGGACTACCACTCAAGTTTCAGGAAGCAGAGCGTTTCTCAAGTGCTGAGCCAGTAGACAGCATCACTCTGGCATCACAGTCTATTTTGAAATGCAAATTATTTGAAATATCTTACTGTGGATTAATGCTTTATTTTGGAAACTGGTGTTTTATTGTCCTTCCTTCAAGAGAGTTCACATTGGCGCAACAGGTAGATTTGGAGAAGGCACTTTCAGACTAGGGCATTCCCGTGGGGTCAGCAGGTCACAGTGCAGCAGGACACAGGCGAGCCAGAGGACTGAGTGGAAGGGAGGTGTGGATGCCTCTCCCGCAGTGGACCAACCCAAAGTCAGGCTGCCTGGAGCATTGAAATCTAAGGGAAATACTACGGTGGGTGTTATTACAGACGAAAGGAATCAAATGGGAGAAATCTGGCAGAGACAGTGTTGATGTCTTAATAGATTTGGGAGATCACAGTCCTTTAAAATAGGCCTCCAGGCAAAGCCCTCAAAACTTTCTTAAAACAGAGGTCTTACATTTAACAAGTGACCCCGACGGTGGAGCGGCAGGACATTTGGGTGTTTCCTTCTGGTCCTCCTGCTGTGCATGCGTCGTGCGTGTGTGTTTGCATTTATTACAGTTCACGCCACATTTGTGTTAATTACGGTTCACCTCATGTTTATCACGGGTCGTCCCTGTGTTAGAGAGAGCTGGGGTGTCCTAAGGGAGGAACAAAAATGGACATGGATGGGGGGCCAGCCCGGTGGCGCAAGCAGTTAAGTGCGCGTGCTCCGTTGCGGCAGCCTGGGGTTCGCCGGTTCAGATCCCGGGCGCGCACCGACGCACCGCTTGTCAAGCCATGCTGTGGCTGCGTCCCATATAAAGTGGAGGAAGATGGACATGGATGTTGACCCAGGGCCGGTCTTCCTCGGGAAAAAGAGGAGGATTGGCAGATGTTAGCTCAGGGCCAATCCTCCTCCTCAAAAAAAAAAAAATGGACATGGATGCAGCACAGAGAATGACTGAATTGATTTAAAATAAGGTAATCTGAAACTAAAGCAAATCAAGATAGACTTTAATAAAAGATTTAGCGATGGGCTCTTATTTTTAATGCTGTCAAGGTTAAAATGAGAAGAGTTTCATTTTCACTTCAGCATAAACTGTGTGTTTTACTTTAAGGAAGAATCTCTTGGTGGCCAGCTGGGAGCTTTTGCCACAAGTGTTCCTGTGACACCTCCCTGGCACTGGGAAGGGGAGCCTTTCGAGCTCTGTCCCATCCTCTTTCCAGATGAGTTTCAGAGTCGGCACCTCAGGGTTCAGAACAAGTCCAGCTTTGATTCAGGTCCACTGGCCCTGGAGTCGGAGTCTCTTGATGGCCCAGGTCGCTGTCAGGTGCCCCAAGAGAACTCAGGGAGAAAGACGGGGTGCTCACCTGTCCCTATGCCCTGGCTCCCGGGCCTTGGGATGCAGGCTGCCCTGGGGTGAGACCCCCACTCTGTGGGTGGTACTGCCACAGTGTTGTCACAAGATGCTAACCACAGGTGGCATCTGGGGAGCAAATCCTGATGAATCCAGGCTGAGTTTGGGGAGGGATCTGCGGGAAGATAGTACAGGAATCAGGGGAGACGGGCGGTAAGGGGGTGCCACTGGCATGTACGCCCCTGCCCATAGCCATGTGACTATTGATAATAGTTGGTAAAAAAGCTGGCTTTGGTGTCGGGATAGCAAGGCCTTAAATGAGAGAGAGAATATAAATATGAATGAGGATGAGAGTGTGTGTGTGTGTATTTTCCAGGTAAGACTAGGCATCGGGGCCGTGGGGTACAGTCGTTTTTGTCCTGCCCAGTGTCTGAAGAGGGAGTGACCATGCCGTGTCCTTCTGGAGCAGAATGTCCACCTTGGCCGAGAGGACTGGATTTGACCCAGTGTACAAAGGTGTCTTCCTTTCACCTCCCATACTTTCTGCCCGTTACACCTTCTGACTGTTTTTCCTCCTCTTTCTTTTGTGGCATTGACTAAATTGTCTTTTTCCCTTTTCCTCACGGATGGTTTGGGAGTCCTAAATCTTACTGCTGTTTTACCCAGTAGTTTCCTTTAATTTTCAAGCAAATATATTTAAACCACTTGAAAAAAAATTTAAGTACGAAGAATTAATCAGTGTTTGTAAAGATCCCCACCCAAGAAAATCTGAAACCTCAGGCTGGTTTTTACTCTTTCTTTCTACTCTCATCCTTTGGATTCTGACATCATGGTGAGTTTTAGCCACTCTTTCAAAAAGCCCTTCCTAATAAGTCCCTCAGCCGGGTTATCAACAGTGGTTTAGACAGAAGCACAAGGGCTTCCAGTTTCTCCTCTCCTCACTGCCTTCCGTGTTCCGTGGCCTGCTCTCTCTCATGCCACATTCGGATTTATTTTTCATTTTGCTGGAATATG